GATTTTTGGGGCTTTGGAAATTGAATTATTTGCATTGATCCCAATGAATTGTTTTTTGTTTTTTTTTTCGTACCAGAGATCGAACTCAGGTCCTTGCACTTGTGAGGCAGGTTGGCAGAACCACTGAGCTTCATCCCCAGCTCAATGAATTGTTTTTTTAACCAAATTTTTATGTCACCAAATGCAACTATCCTAGAGAATGAGGAAGCCCATAAGTGAATCCACTTGGAAGACCATCAAAGGAACCTTAATAGCCATGAGCTCAAAGTGGAAAAGCTCAGATTTTTTTTTTTTTTTGGTTTTTTGAGACAAGGTCTCACTATGTAGTTGAGACTGACCTGGAACTCACTATGTAGCCCAGGCTGGTCTCAAACTCACAGTGATCCTCCTGCCTCAGCCTCCCAAGTGCTAGGATTACATGCGTGCGCCACCACGCCCGGCTGGAAAAGCTCAGATTTTAAATGAGCCACAAACCACAGGGTAAAATATTGGCCCTGCGTCAGTGCTGCCTTCCTTGTCACTCGAGCTGAGGAAGTTATCACTCACCCAATCATGGACCCAGCTCTTTCAGAAATTAGAAAGAAGGCAGAGCATGGCTGGATGGTGTATACTCAGACACGACTTGATGCATAGGACCAAACGAGTCCTCAGCAGCCAGTACTGGTCCCCGGGCAGGAGGTGGATCCCAGGGTATCCGTGGCCAGGCTGCCCCAACTGAGGTCTCTGTGCACCTGTCGGCCCTTTGGTGTTCTCAGTGGCTGGCTCTGTGCGTGGATGGCCTGGCCCACGGCCTTTCCTGGTGGGATGTACTGGTGCCCTGTGCCACTGCCCAGCTCAGCACCTACACGTCACCCTCACCGTGTGTGTGTGTGTGTGTGTGTGTCTTCTAGGACCAGGAGCAGTGGCTGGCTGTGCTCTCTTCTGTGCCCTCATGGGTTAGAGTTACAGTTCATCTTTTTTTTTTTTGGTACTGGGGATCAAACTTAGGACCTTGCACCTGCAACCTGCAAGGCAGGCAGCAGAACCACTGAGCCAAATCCCCGGCCCTCCAGTTCATCTTTGAGAGGCTGCTGTGCTAGAAGCTGGTGGAGCAGGCTCAGCTCTGGTTTGACCAGATCGTGGTCTTCATTTTTCTGCAGCTGCTCATGATCTGAGCCTGTCGTGTTAAGCAGCCTCTGAGGGGGTGGAGGGGGAGCTGGAGGTCCTGACCTAAGGCTGTTTGAGCCATACCAGAGGAGAGGTCCTGGGCCGAAGGCAGCACCTGCTCCTGCCCGGCTGGGTACCAAGTTTTCTCATCAAGGCTAAGAGCAGCCTTGATCCCTGAAATGCATTTCCTGTTATTCATGCTGTACGTAGCTAATCCTGAACTGAGATCTGGAGTGGGCCCCAGGGCAGTGGAAACTGCAAGTCAAGGGTCCCGCTGGGCACTGAGCGTGTTCCACATGGGGATGGACTCCTCTCCACAGGGAGCGAACTGGGCTTGGGGCCTCTGTCCGGCCAGCAGCACAGACCCTGGAGCAGTGAGCTCATGCAGATCAGGCTCCCTTAGACGGCTGAGCTCTGCGAGTGAAAGAGTCTGTATCTGCTGCCCTTGTCTGGGAGAGAGTAGGCCTTCTTCACTCCAGCCCAGCAGGAACCGAAGGGCATGAGGGGACCCTCTCTGGATACCCGCCACCCGAGGAACTGCTGCCGGGGCACTGCTCGGCTCAGACTGCAGCCCACGGACTCTTCCGCCATCTCGCGGCCGGCAGCAGCAGTGCATTGGAGACAGACAGGCCTAAGGGACCAGAGGGAAACGGGTGGTCTGGTGGTGGTGGTCATGGATACCTGCAGATGGGCGCTTGTGAGTGGCCCGCGATTCTGGGCCCGAGGGCTTTGGTTTGACGTCAGGTGCCAAATGACAACATTTGCTGAGATGAAAGTAAAATAAGTGCTTTTCTGGAGAAAAAAAGACAAAACTGTCCATTCCTTCTCACGGACCCAGCTGGGGAGCTCCTGAGAGGACGTTGCAGTCGCATGCCTGCTACTCGTTAAATGCGTGGCAGAGACTTAAAGCCACTCGCATCATAAACCATAACTCCTAACAGGGTCTAGTGAAATACTGTCTCTTACAACGCCTTCTGCTAATACCAGAAGCAGCCTTCATGCACAGGGACTACTTCTACACAATTTAAACTTTTAAATAAAAGAACACCCAACCGGGGATTTAGCTCAGTGGTTCCACCGCCTGCCTCGCAAGCACAAGGGCCCGAGTTTGATCCCTGGTACCA